AAAAAAAAAAAAAAAAAGCTTCTAGGGGTGAAGCGAGACATTTTGTCCGAGTTTTGAACCTAGACGGTTCCTAGGCGCTACTTATGCAAGTTTTTTAGAACACTGCTTATCTGTATGAGTAATAAGGAATCTTCTTGACGAGTGGCCAGAAGAAGTGAATTCTAAATTAGAAAACTTGAGTACCTTAAGAATAATCTTGTTTATACGTTTTGGATAGATTTCATGCTTACCTAATAGATTCATTCTATATAAATTTTGACACATATACTGAATGAGGCAAGTATGGGTTTTACTAGGATGGGGGATGGTCAATGGTGACCGGTGAGGATAGGTGACGGGGAAACAACGCTAGGGTTTGAAGGGTATCTTCTTCTTTTTTTTTTTCCTTACACTTGGTTCCTTTTTCTGTTTTCCTTCTCTCTCTCTCCCACTCTCTCTTCCACTTGTTTTTGGAGAATTATGCCACATGACGCAGGTTGATAAAAGTACCCCTAAAAAAAGAGATCATCTACAAGACACGTGGAACTTTGATGAAAAAATAAGTTTCAATCTGGTAGATCCTCTACGTCCCTAACTTTGCAAAGGTTGGGGACCTAAAGGCATTAAAAGTTTAACTCAAGGGGCTATTCATGAAAGCTGGGACTTCAAGAGTAATTTTTCATATTTGTGTGGTATATTACAATTTTGCAAAAGAGACTACCACTTCAAAAATTTATAGTATCATAATACTACAATACAAATGCTTGCTAGAAATACTATTTTAGAATGAAATACATTGAACTAGAAATACTAGTTTATAGTAGAGATTATCGATGTCAACATGGACCACAAAAAAAAATGCTATTTTATTTTTCAAGGAAAAAAAAAAAAAAAGCATGCTTCTCGTGGGATGAAGGTGATTCACTGTCAGTCATAGTCAAAGGCCGGTATCACGTTGGTATTTTTCTTATGGGCATCTTTGATTTATCTTAGTTTCATTCTTATCTTCAATTTTCTATTAATTAGAATTCCGATTTATAATTTTTTTTTTCAAGTATTATTTTAGCTTACTTTGAAATGAGGATAAATATTCAATCACACTTTTTTATTCGTTGATTTTTTGTTTATTGAAAAATATGATGGGTAAATAAGTGTTATTATGCCCTCCTAATGATTTTTTTGGGTGAAATCATCACTGGGGATTAAATGCATTAATTAATGAAAGGCGGATGATAAGAACGTGAACAAAAAAAGTTGAAGACGTAAGTCTGAATGAGAAAATGTTGAAAACCGTTTTTACTGCAATAAAAAAAAGTGGAATAAAAGAAAGCCACGGTGACAGTTTAAATATTATTTTATAGAAAAATGTATGTTTGAAAATGAGTTTTGGAGAAATGAATTTTTTAAAAAATGGAGTTCAAACGCCACCAGCGTTACTTAATTTAATAAGAAGCCATTATTTATTTATTTTGTGAATCAAATAGCACTGATTAGCTCCTTAAAAGTAGACAAGAACGGAGATTCTTATAAATCCATTAAGCAGAATATCTGTCTATCTCCTTATGTATATCTGTCTATTAATAGCCATTTCAGTCCCTTATTTTCATCATGCTATAAAACACAAGTGAATTTTCTGTACTTAGAACAAAAATTACTATGTCTTTCTCTAAGCCTAATATGAGCGCACACTCGAGTTTTCGGTCCAGCGCCGACCCGGGATTTGGCTTCAACATCGACGAAGGGAGATGGGTTGCTTACGTTCGTCGAACCCTAGAGGAAGAACTTGAGGAAGACACACAAATTCCAGTTAGTATCTTCATTGTTCCGAAAACCCTATTGCTGAGTGCTCCGGATTCTTACATCCCAAAAGAAGTTGCCCTTGGCCCTTACCATTGTTTTCGTCCCGAGCTTTACGACATGGAGAAATACAAACTTGCTGCTGCACAAAGATATCAGAGAGAAACCCCAAACAAAAAACTCCAAAACCTTGTTGATCAGTACCTCAAATTCGAGCTCAAGATTCGAGCTTACTACCATAAACCGTTAAACTTTAGTGGCGAAACTTTAGCATGGATGATGGTGGTGGATGCATCTTTCTTGTTCGAGTTTCTTCAAGTCTGTGCTGTCGGAAAAGGCAAGGTACCAGCTAATGTTCCATCACGAATGTCACATTTGGTTGAATTAGCAGCAAATAAGGCAGCAAACAACGCCATATTTAGAGATCTTATAATGCTTGAGAACCAAATTCCATTATTTGTGTTGAGGGAATTGTTAGAATTTCAGTTCTCATCAATAGAGTTGGCAGATGACTGGCTACTTTCCATGTTAATTGGACTCAGCAAAGATCTTTCTCCATTCAAGATGGTGGAAAAATTCCCCAAAATACAGCTCATGGAATGTACTCATTTACTCGATTTTGCATATCGTTTTATCGTGCCAAATTTGGAGGAACAATCTCTTGATCATCATATAGCTGAAATTGAGGAAGATGGTGAATCAAAGGAAGGCGAGAAGGATTCTTTCACAGGAGAACCGAGTTACCTAAAGCGGCTCGTTGATGAGGTATGGAATATCCTTTCTAAATTAGAAAAAGGACTATTATGTCAATGGATCAAATGCATAATCTTTTCGAAACCTTTAAAAGTGGTTGTGAAGTTGCCTTGCACTATTATATCTAAGGTTCCCGTCTTAAAAATGTTAAAACAACCATTGGAACAAGTATTCAGTGCCTTACATAAAGGAGTGGAGAAGAAAGAAGATGAAGATTCCGACTCTAAAGGTAACAAAGAAGAACCTCCATCGATAGAAGAAATTTCAATCCCTTCTGTAAGTGATCTCGTTGAAGTTGGAGTTTGCTTTGTGCCAACTAATGAAGGCATCCAAAGCATTAATTTCGACATAAAAACTGCCACACTTTATCTCCCTATCATTTGTGTAGATGTGAGTTCGGATATTGTTTTAAGAAACATGGTGGCATATGAAGCGTGTAGAGTATCAAGGCCAATGGTTCTGACTCGTTACACAGAATTAATGAATGGGATTATTGACACCGAAAAAGATGCAAGTTTTCTTCGCGATAAAGGGATTATTATAAACCGTTTGAAGAGCGATAAAGAGGTGGCGGACCTGTGGAATGGAATGAGTAAGTCTATTAGATTGACAAAGGTGTCTTTCATAGATGAAGTGATTGTAGATGTGAACAAGTATTACAACGGAAGGTGGAAGGTTAAATTTGGAAAATTCATGAAGAAATATGTATTTGGTTCGTGGCAGATTCTCACATTTCTTGCTGCTATTATGCTGTTATTGCTCATGTGTTTACAAGCATTTTGCCAGGTTTATAGCTGCAGACGCATTTTTCTTATCAAAGCCCTCGAAGCCGCGGTGAACGACTAGAGTCTCGTCCGGCGCCCCAATTTCTTATCAAAGCAATTTCTTGCTTTGCCAATTAAATACTCCGGGACCAATGAATAAGGGTGAAGAAATTTCAAAGGGTGCATTTGTTGGGACATGTGTCAAAATATAAAGATAATACTGTAATGTTTAGTATTTTGTTTTGTCCTTGAATAAATTTTGCTTATTTATTTGTATATTTTAAATAATTATTGTATTTATGATATTTGAGCATGCAAATAAATGTCTTCCATCTCTTCGCGATACTATGAATTGGGTGTGTAGAGAAGCGTAGAGAGACACTAGTAACTTTTTCGTCCTAGAATGGTGAAATGAAGGTTGGCATATTTATTCAAAACTTCAAATTCCAGCATTTAGTAGAGCAGTTGACAAAGTTTGAGCCTCAGATTTCGAGCTTCCTATCACAAGTACCTTAATTTCAACGGCGAAACGTTAGCATGGATGATCCCCGTGGATGCATCTTTCTTGCTCGAGTTCCTACATATATATGTTGTGAAAAAAGGTAAGGTACTAACTAGGGTTTCTTCAACGTCACATTTAATTGATGTTCCGGGGCGAAAATTGGCACATAATGCTGTTTTAAGAGATATGGTGATGCTTGAGAATCAGATTCCATTATTTTTGTTGACACACTAAAAGTGCAGCCCAAATTAAATGGTCCAAAGAGCGAAGCCCAATTGAAAATTCAAGATGAAAGGCCAAGCAAAGGGTATTATTGAAAAACGTAAAAGCCCACAAACAAAGGAATGACATCGCCCAAACTTGTAGAACGCCCAGATGTTGAGCGAAAAAAGTACCCTAAGGACGCCAAGACCGAAGGAGTCGTCACCCAAACTGGTGGGTCGCCCAAAATCCTAACGATGACTAAACCCTGTTGTTATCTAAAGTCATGATTTGAGGCGGTTTGAGCACATCA